TCTTTCTTTTAAAAATAATGTTTCAAGTGGAAAACCCACCTCTCAGGATTTCAAAAATCTTAGCTGAAAGTGCTTAGAAATTAACTAAAAATAGGCAATTCTGAGCAGAACTTCAAAGTTTGGAAAGAAAAATCGTGATTACATGCCAAGTATCTCATCAAAAGATCCCTACCCAAGATTTTTGCAGCAGTTTCCTGGAAAGGTGTCATTGCCAGTTCTTTTCAATTTTTCTTGTAAATATATGTTCTTGAGGAATTTAATATTAGATTTTAAAAAATTAAATCCCCACTTCATTTATTCTAAAGGCATTGAGTTCTGCTGTTCCTCAGTCCTCTCCTCCATATGTTAACCATGTTCAGAGATATGGTAAAATAGAGGAAATGCTTCATTTCACCCAAGAAGTTATTCAAATACACTTGTTTAGGTTTCAGGTTTGTTTTCTTGGAGTGCAAGGAGTAGACACCAATAGATGGTGCTGGTGGTGCATTAATAAGGCTCAGTTTCACATTTGTTTTCTGGTCTCTGCTTGGAATTTGTTAAAAAAAAAAAATAGAGCGAGAACAAAACAAAACAACAAAAAGAACAAAACAACAAAATCCCTCAGGCTAAGCTTTTATCCAAAATGTTCTCCCCACACTGAACCGGTCACCGTTTAACTTTAACCTGAACTGTGGCCCAGGAAATCCTTCAACATAAATAACCTTGGAAGCTGCCATGACCATTTTTGGAACGTGCTGCCTCTATAAATCTGTTACTTTGTTGTGCAATGTTGAAGCGTGCAGTTGTTTCTCTGATTAATTAGGGCAAAAAATAAACTTGCACGATCAATCCAAGCTGTGACATGTTTCAGCCCTGGCTTGAACGTGGGTAGAAAAGAGCCTTAGAGCCTTCTCCACAGACCTGCCCTGGAATTTTAGGATGCGTTTCTGGCTCGGAGTTTACTCCATTTGATGAGATAAGGTGGCTGCTAACAAAGTTTGCAAGGGAAGAGTTTTGGTGTGTCCCAGGACTGCCGTTCTAGCTTAGCATGAGTAGGGCTGAACACAGTGAGAAATGATTCATCTTGACCACTGCCCCCACTAAAGACAACATAACTGAAGTGTTTTATGTAATTGTGTTTATTTTATTTCACATATTACCCATGGAGAACAGCTGATACATTCTTTATATCTTTCACCAGTCTGGAATGCAAGATAAAAAAAGGTATGGAAAAAGAGTTTAACGTTTGACATTCACGATATGAAAAATAGAGGGGATACAATGTTTTAAAATGCCCTTATGCAATATATATATATTTATATATATAAACCGTATAAAAATAAAATATATTTTTTCCGAAAAAAAAAAAAAAAAAAGACATGGCACAGAACAATCTTAAATACCAATGCATATCTCGTGATCCACACACACCGCACTTATAATTAACAAAATCCACGTACAATTGCACTTTTCCTCTCTGTGACGTTCAAGTATATCGCAGTCCCCGCAGGGACTGAAGAGTGTCCGATTCCCTGCCGGGTGCACATAACGCAGAGGGTAGAGCAGAAGTGGGCGGCCTGTCCTCGCCCACGGCTGACGCGCACCCTCCAACCCTCGGGGGCAGAGGGCGAGGCCGGGGCCCGTCGCCCACCGGCGGGTCCCCCCCTGAGCATCCCCTCCTGGGGGCGGCGGGGCGCGGGAGGGCGGCCAGGGCCGCCCGGCCCCCCGGGAGCAGCGTTGGCGCCTTGGCGTCGCGGGCGGCGG